ATCAGTCTGGTGGTTTATGGGGATCCCAATGGATACTCAGCCATGGCTAAAACCGTGGGCTACCCAGCAGCCATTGCAGTCCGTATGGTGCTCAGCGGTCAGTGCAACTCCACTTGAATATGCACATTTAACGGCAAATGTTACAAAAATGTATTTTATTTAGATATGCACCAATATATAAAACTGGGCCAATGCAGACTATTTATATTTTGAATTTAAGAAGTGATATTTTGCCCAATATTACTAAAAAAAAAAGTCAATATCTCTTTTTCTTTTACATTTTTATTTGTTTTATTTTATTTTGTTTTATTTTTTTACCTTTTTTTTTCTCTCTTCCAGCTGCAACTGCAAAAAATATTTTCCCCTCACAAACATTTAACAAACATAAGCCTGCTATTAACCAGTCAATGTCCAAATTTCATTTCTAAACTTTCTTTTTATTCTAAAGGTTAAATGGAAAATCTACATTTTACAAATATAACACAATGCATGTTGTATTTTAATTTAACATTTTATTTTATTTGTATCTAATAACAGGTAGACCAGCTTGCAATGATGTGAGGTCCCATGATCATTTGGCTATAATTTATTGGCTTAAATATATATTTTACTTATTGGACCAAAACCACTAACATTATAAAGTCACAGTTATTCTCTGATACTGATATATCAGTGATATTTCATGAATCCCTCGTTTCATGCCACTGTAATTACATCAGTAGTTCGTATTCTGTTCTTAATTATTATAATATAACATTTTAAAATATATTTCCAGGATGTAATTTCCAGTAATTCCACACAATGCCCAGACACTGCTCTTATAAAGTCACTTTGACTTAATGTGAATGTGTGACGTCCCACCACAGGTGAACTGACCACTAAAGGACTCGTGGTGCCGATGACGAAGAACATCTACAGTCCGGTGCTGAAGAGACTGCAGGAGGAGGGTCTCCAGTGCATCACCAAGAGCACCATATCAGAGTAACCACACACCTTAAGATCTCAAAACTCATTTCTGTGCCACATGTGTGTAATGAAACCCAAACATCCATTACCGCACATATTCCACAATGAACGGTTGCAGATCTTCAGAGTGATCCAACGGTTAGTACTTGTTTCCAAACTTGAATCTAAAAGTAGATTTACACAGTCTGTAGATGTTTGTATTAGTTGACAATGAGTGTTCATTTTTATCAGTGTCGTCATAAATTGGGAGTGTAAATAAACTCCCACAAAGCACTTTGACACAGAACCGTCCCATTTCCACTTCCTGGCATTGAAAATGAACTTTATACACCGTCAGTATTTTCTTACCCTTGTAAGAAAACATGAACTACTTTCTCAGTTGAGTTCTAAACAAGCAGTAGCATCATATTAATGCAAAATATTATGTCATGTTGAGTACTACTGATAAAATGATCCATTTTCTGTAAGACTTTAACATCGTCAACTGAATAATTCTTAAATGTGAAACTTGGCACTGTAGTGAATTGTTTCAACTTTTTTTTTCACATTATAAATGTGAATTAGCATAAAAATCATTTCTAAACCATTTTAAGCATAGCATGTCCAAAGAGTTGTTTTAAAACTAGCTTTTGTCCAATAAAACATCTGCGTTTTCTTTCATTGTTTTATATTTCTTGTTTTTTTTTCTAAAATATTGTTTGTCATCTTCAGTAGACAGAAATGAGAGGAAATTACCCTTTACCCCCCTCTTTTATTACATAATGTGTGTGTGTGTGTGTGTGTATGTGTATATATA